ACTGCTAAAATTATAATAATCACCAAAAAGTTAAGAACATTACTAACACATCTTGGTAAAGACTCCCTTGATCCTGTGTAATTCATTATATTCCTAAATAATTTCACAGTATTTCAAACTCATGTTTGAATATGATAAAGCTAAAACCAAAACAAACCATGGACTGTAGGGAACAATCTGCCAGAGGGAAAAGAAACAAAACTATCTTAAATGTTGTTCTCTGACCCTAATTTTCATAGGTCCATGGAGAATGCTTTGTGAAAATGATTGTTTTATTATTTCCCATGTCATGTCATTATTTAAAACAGAAAACTTCAAAACCTGCAGTGCATTACAAAGAATAGTGTAAGAATCTCTACTCAAAACTGTGCTCAGTCTGCTCAGGATTTCTTGGCAAATTCCAAACACACAAAATGACATGCGCTCGAAGAAAAAAAGTCAGATCTTTAAATCAGGTTTTGAAAAGCACTCTAGATACATGCTTCATTTCACCCACAGGCAAAAACCATAATCAATTTAGAATGAGTTCATACGTCATTGGCAAACAATTAGGGATAGGAAAAACTCAGAAATGGTCTGATTCAAGCCCACCAAGCTCAAGACAAGTCTACCACGTTATTGTGCCAGAAATAGCATAGCACCTATTTCTCAAGAGACTTTCCATATCCATGGGAAGACTGGATACACTGCAAAAGCTGAGGCTTTCATGATAGCTGTGCACACAGAATCCGGCACAGCGACAACTTCGACTGGGACTTTTAGATGAGTCTGCAGCAGAGACAGTCAACAGTAACATTATGGCATTTCTCAGTTTTCAGTCACCAGCCAGAGTGTGTAGGCACAAGGAATGAATAGTAGATTAAATTAAATTTAACTTCAAGTTAGAAGTTTGGTTTGCATTTGGACTGAAAGTCTGATTCAGAGGCAGGCCTGGAATTTCTGCTTAATCCAAACTTGTTTGTCTAACCTTTCAAAGTCATTAGATGTAAAAAGGAAGAAATGTGTCTTAGAAAATACAACCTCTTACTTTATGAGCCTCTGGCCCACTTAAGTGTTGCCTGAAAATACACATTACAACTTTATCCTGTATATCCTTACTCAGGTGGACAATTGCACTGATGTAAGTGTTTTTGGTTTTTTTTCTTTTAATATTTTACCCTCTAATTCTGTTCAACATATAAAAGAAATGACAACAAAAAAAGATCTTAATTCCACACCACAACATGGAAGAAATAAAACCAAAATTAGGTCAGGAGAATAGAGTACTATTGATGTATAGGCATAGTAATTGAAAAATACCTGCTTTGTGAATTCAAAAGCAAAGACACCTATTTTTTAATGACTCCAAAATTACGTAATTAAATAAATACAAGGCTAAGATAGAGACACACAAAGACAGAAAATAAAAAGAAAAGCTAGCGTTCACTCTCCTAGGAGAAACAAAGATGACCCTACCTTAAATAATTCAAACTCCTTCTTTGGCATCAACAGCTACCAATCCACAAAGGATATTTGCAATTAAAATAAACACATACACATCCATTAGGATCGAAATTACCACCTCTAAGCAAATAAGCAGAAAAAAAAAATCTTAAAGAAAAAGATTTTGCTGTATCTTTATCAACTTTATACTCATGTTAGATGCTACGCAATACAGAAATCAGCCTCAGTCTGTAAAAGAAATACAAATCTTTTGACATATCCTCCTCTACACACACACACACGCACACTTCAAAAGAAAGTTTTGCTCCCAAGGAGCGGACAGTACCTGGATGGTGCGGGTATACGCAGGCTCTGACCATCCTGGACCACCATCTTGATTCCTCAGAGGGTCCAAAATGTTGTTTGGCACAAAGCCTGTGCTGCCACTTTTATTCTGAACCTTCCACCACTGCTTTCTGTCATCCAGAATCTGAAATAATATGGCAATTTAATTACATATTTTTTCTGACTTTCCTCCTGCCAGTACTTAGACTGTGCATCATTTAAAAACAAACCCATAACCTCGCTAGCTTCTGGGATTGCCAACAGGTCTTACACAGATGTCCCTAACAAACCCCTGTAGGCTTCCTTGATTATCAGCATCACTAATCCTATATGATAGTACTGCAACTTTTCAAAACATGGCTCTCAAGAAAGGATATGGAAGAAAAGCGTGTAATGAAACTCTGTAAATTCAGAAAAGCGTGTAATGAAACTCTGTAAATTCAGACATGCGCTGGACAACACAGTGGACTGACAATCAAACACTTGCACAGAGAGGCTGACATCGCTAAAACCTATATGCTGTTGACAAAAGGAGTAAGTAACTACTAATAACCAAAGGAAAAGCACATCGTTCTAGGAGAGCGCACCTCTGAGTAAACAGGGAACTGGAGCAGGATGGCCAGGAAAAGTCTGAAATCTGACCACCTGCTGTGCAATCTTATATACAAGATTTTCTCTCTTTGTTGCTCCCTCCCTTCCAAATTTGTCTAGCTTTCAGGGTACCAACTCTTCCAGGAAAGGACAGTCTTTCACTATGCCTTGTGCATACACAGACAGTGTTTGCCAGAGCCAGTATTTAAATACTACTAAATGAGGCTTTTAAAAGCAACACTAGAGAAGATGGAAGAAACACACAAATATATTTCTAACGTGGGTCTCTACAGCATCAATTCATAAATCAGCACAGAATCTCTGTTTATCATGTCTACAATGCAAAACAAATTAATTGAACTTTCCATCTTAGGGGACATAAATGAACCACATTGAAGTAATCATTAAGGCCAGCCATAATGCCCACGGGAAAGGTACCCTCAGCTGTGAGTAGTACCAGAGATTCCTGTTTTCTCTTTGCAAAAAAATTACCTCTATGATCTCTTCTTTCATGACAGAAAGCTCACTGTTGTTTCTTGCCATAAATTCATACTTGCATTTGGCATATTTCTTGGTCTGTGCTTTACTGTGTGCTTCATAGTTTCTGCAAAGCAAATATCAGACTATTGCTCAGTGAGACATTCCAGCAAATAAAAACACAGACTAAATGCCCTCTTCCAACAACCTGCAAAACATTTAAACAAAAAAACCCCATCATAACATGATGTTGCTGTAGAACTACCTATTTATAAAACACTGATTCAAAGTTCAAAAAAAAAAAAAAAAAGAAACGAAAGAAAGAAGCGGTTGAGCTACATGGACCTCAAGAACTGGTAATCTTTTATCAGCTCACTGCTTGCAAGATGTATGATAACAACTAAGATTAGCAGGTGCCATTGTATTAAGATAAACATGTACACTATATTTAGTCTGTTTTCCCACTGTAGGTTAAATGATCATTTGCCATATAAACAAATGACTACACTTAGTATATACCTGATATCTTGTGTTTGTATGAAATTATTTCTAGTGTTGATCATAAATTAAGTTTCAAACAAATAATAAATGAATAAATTTTTGCCGTCAACACCGATGGAATTAAACTCTATTTAAAAAATGCTCACCTACTGTAGGTCCATAAGATCTTGACCATAAGATACCACCAACTCTAACAACCTCAAGTTACTGTATTAATTAAAAATGAAAAATAACTTCTTGGCAGTTAGAGACAGGGTTCATTATAGAACAAGGCATACCACAGTGTAACTCTGCGTCTTTCTGTTTCCTTGAGGAAAGATATGTTCAGATTGCCTGTAGTAACAAGCTACTAGTTTCTCTGACATAGTACCTCTTCAAGGTGAGAAGCCCCCCTGTGCCCTCAAAATAGCTCCAAAAGAAACAGTAACATCATTCATTTATTGCAAATTATACCCAACAATCCAAATCCATACTAGGTAGTAAAGTCAAAAAAAAAAAAAAAAAAAGGATAATAAAACCATGAAACAATCAATGGCTTGAAATACTTCATACAACATCACAGCAGAGGGATACAAATGCAGATGGTTGCTGATGTTGGTGCTGTGTTACCATGGGTCCCAGGTGTGCCTGAGCAATCCAGTTGTTACCTAGCTATTGCATGGCTGTGGAGAACTGTCTCACTTGACTTGAAAAGCAGAACAAAGGGAGAATCATATTTAGATTGAAAGATTATTTTGAAAGGAAGACAAAACACTACAAGAATTTAAAGAGAGAGTCAAAAACATGGGATGAACCCTAGCCTGAAGAATAGCTGTTATGAGGTTGGAAGACGTGTGAGTAATGCCAATTTTTTCCGTCACCAAGTCAAAATTTATATAATTTTGAGCTTCTTTCCTACTATTTCAGGGATATGGCTAAGGTCCTTCTGAAGGTACTTTTACATTTAGGCTGCCTTTCCGAACTCATTTCACTAACTGTGTCCTCCTACCTTGTCCACACCTAACTATCCCGACCCCATCAAAAACCATAACTCAGGAATAATTTTTAAAAAATGCTTACATTTCAGTTTTACTCCACTCTGTTGCAATCAACAGCAACATCCCCAGGGCATGGGCCAGGCATTGGCTGTATGCTTCTCAAGAAACCATAGTTCCTCAAGCCCAGTTTAATGAGCCAAACAGTTTACTTGGGGCACAAATATTCTCAGCCCTTCCCTCCCTCCATCCTCCACTGTGTTTTCTTATTGCCTGTCGGATACACTGTAACTGCAGCCCTCTGCTCTCCCGTGCACGAGAGCCTAGCGGATTGCACAGACTCCCAGGGTGCTACTTCACAAATGACAGCACAAAACCAAACTACACAGCATACTACTTTGAAACATCATACAACATGCTGAAAAACTATTCAGTACTCTTTCAGCATCAGAGAGAGTCCCCGATATATGTAGTAACACACTGAAAGTTTAAGATCCTGACACTTAGTTTAAGTCACCCAAGGAAAGCACACCTAACTGGAGGTCCTGGCATGTTGGAATAAGGCTCACTGAAGTTCCCTGTGATTAAAATTTCCCTGAACATGGTGTAATCTACCTGTCCCTCAGAAGGTAGCGGGTGGCTCAGTCACTGCTTTAGGACTGCTCATTAGGAATGCCAGCTTTGAACAAGGACCAGCAAATAATGGCTGAAAGGGTCAGCTTGAATTTCTCACTCCCTCCCCCAAACCCACTCCTCCACCTGCTTCTTCAGAGATGCTTTAAAATTTATCTTTAAATGGAAGTTACTTGGGGTAATACATATTAACGGCTTTCCCCCAATAATGAGTTCCTACCATGCATGTATTATATGTCTCAAGAGCCAATTAACAAATGGAAGTTTGTGTTGTGTTGAACAGACTGGAAGATAGAGGCACACTGTGGATGTCTGCATCAGTACCAGCCATCTAGACTCCCTCCTGCAATCAGTGGTGAGAAACGGGCACCACGACATCATGTCTCGTTTCATATCTTTCAAAAGACTAATTTCACCTCACATGAACTGCTTCTTAGAAACACCCATTTCTCTTTACCCGCCACAAAGGAGGCTTGGATGACTCTTTCAGTTGCAGCCAGATACACTGATATCATCAATAGTTCAATGCAGTAAGCCCCATTCTCTAAACCTGAAATGGAGTCAACAACATTTGCATGGAATACTCTTGCTCTGAAAGGACAAAACAGGTCTTACCACATTACAGATAAGAGAGAAAGGAATTTAGAGTACAGGATGATCTGTAGATTTCAAGGTGACTGGTCCTGAGACAAGAACCCAGAAAGTAATCAAGTTGGAGAAAAAGATTAGAGATGACTACTACTGCTGTTGTTGTTATGAAGAATAAATCCAAAGTTCAGGAAAAGAATCCAGTCTTCACTCTGCACACTATGTGGGAATATGTTTGCACGCAGATTAACAGGATCTTTTAGCACATAGCTCAAAACTAGGAGTTATGCACAGGTTTTCATCAGAAGAGTTATATTAATGTTGTTTTAAGCAGCAATCTGATCCCAAAAACTTAAACATCTTCCATGGCACATAAGTTAAAATACTCTTCATATGGTGTATATGGACTATGGTTTGGCATGGGGGAGTAATTCCAACACTGCTTTACCAATTTACTTTACAATTTGTACTAGTATAAATTCACAGACAAGGCCGAGACTCCAAGGATCACTGCATTTGATCTTGTCAAGTTATTCGGATTTAAGCTAAAATGAAAGGAATGAAAGAGGATGTGCAAAAAGACACTAGTTGCTATGCAAACATTTCAGAGCATTTTTTGTAACATTTGAAAGAGAATGGAAGAAATGAGGAGTTACTATTCCGAAAGTGGATATTTATGGACCAGCCCAGAAAACAAAAAGCAGGAGACTACGGAGCACTAAGTGAGCAGTTAAACAAATCAAACAATCATTCAAAACAAGGACAGATGAATCTCAGAGCAGACTTGTCATTCTTTGTAGTTCTGAAAAGAGCGAAGAGTATGTTTAAAAACATGAAACAAAGCAGAAATAAAATCTGAACCCAAACAGGAAGATTCTGTGTTCTCAATCGGGTTGGAATTCCACTATATCATTTTTGACAAAAGCATCAATTTAACAGCATACGCACAAACACGGTAGTTTCATAAAAATTACACTAGAAGAGTCTTAATGATGTGCCTTAGAGAAGCAAAAGCAGAATACCCACTGCTAACCAGAATCGCTTCCTCATAGAAATAATGATCTGCTCCAGACACAACCAGAGGTAATTACAGACACCGCCACCCCAATAGCAATAAGTCGGGACAGTTATCCACAGCACCACGTACGCCGTTGATTCAGTGTTACCTATCTACATGTCGGCTAACAGTTTGCTTAAAGGCAGCAACAGCCGCCCCCTGGTCCAGCAGAGGCCCTCTTTTGTAAACTGTGTTACTGAATGCATACCCATCGGACGGAGGGTAGTCGGGAACACTGGGAGGCTGGAAGACAAAAAAGAAACAAAGCCACAAAGTGGATTAGCGTCATCAGCAGCACCGCCTAGTTCACTTAATCCAGCACCCCTAGGGTCCCTGTCAGCATTCACCCGTCCTCAGGTGCTCAGGGTTCTGCTATGAAAAGTTAATAACTTCTGCATTTCAAATACATAAACAGGGAGATCAAAAGGATAAGAATAAAAGAATTTCTATCCTAAGTCATCCCACTGCATTAATATTGCAGTGGATATTCTTTAGAAAAACAGTTCTCTGGGGCAAGGTCCATGTCATCTCTCAGATATCACTACAGCAACACAACTTATAAACAATGGCTGAATGGCTTTAAAATAAACTGCACTGAGAAACTGCTTTGAGCTTTTGTTCTAGATGTACACTTAAAGGCAGAAACCTCTAGCTAGCTAACAGTAAGTCTGTATAAGAATAAAACCTCCCAAGTAAAATTATCACTCTGTTGCAGGATCATAATGTCAAGTGGCTCATTTCTGTCACTCTCTCACCGAATGTGACTATAGTCAAAGAAGAAATGCAAAAAGGAATGTGATAGTTGGTATAATTAAGGATTTTAATTAAGGAAAATAATCACAGTTTATCACAAGCACATATATAAGAATATTCAAGGCTTTAGGTTAATTCTTTTTAAACTGCAGTCCTTTAAAAAAAACCACCTTAAATCCAGCAATGGTACTCTGCTTCTAAGTCAGAATTATTTTAACCACCATTCCCCAAAACAAAAACAAGCTAAGCAATTCATTTCTGGAGATTATGATATTGAAATTGCTCATTCTAGATCTTTTCCTTATATCACCATCCAGTTGCACAAGTTAGAACAGCTGAGATGCACCAGAAATTGGCAAATCTCTAAGCCTGGTTTGTTGTTTTTTTTGGTGGTTTCAGGTTTTTTGCGTTTTTTTTTTTTCTGTCTGTGTGGCTACAGAAAAGCTGCTCACCTAATTTCTACCTCCAAGTATGTGACCTGGTCCCCAGAGACACTTGTCTACAGGGCTGAGGGTTTATGAAAATAAATTAAAACCACACAAAACTCCCCATACACATAGAATATCCTTTAAAATTATATTATTAATCTATCTATGATTCTATGATTCTATGATTAAGACCTCTTTGAAAAAAATCTCAAGTGTCACCTAGCTTATACCTTACATCAAAAGCCACCCAGGAAGCAGGAACTCATTTTACTTCACACACAGATTACTTGCATTGCCTTAGCCTCACTGGACTCTCTATCACCAGTTCCCCATTGTTTCACTGCCATTTGAAGTCCTCATCGCTGAACTGAGTCCACCTTGAAACCCCTCTGGTGGGAGCTCTGTGTGTAGCTACATCTTAACATTCAGGAATGGAAAGAAAAAAAGGTTTCTCATGAGCGACAGCCTCCAGTGCACTTTGCCAGATGCCAGAGCAGTCCCTGCCCAGCAGGGAGGGCAGCCGGGGCAGCCGCATGCACCCTCTCTCCACTCCCACCGCGGCACAGCTCTCGACACACAGCCTCGGTCCTCGGGAGAACAATGTCACACCGAGACGCGAGGCCAATTATCGACAAGAGATGAACACTTAAATTCTCATCTTATTTTTCCAGGACCCTTTGTTAAACAAGCTGTTTGGGCAGACTTATGAAAGAATAATTATTCTGGTATCACCCACTTCAGGGCAGTCCTTTTGCTGCAGACAAATAGCATTTTGCACTCATGCAGCTTTTTCCAGGGGAGCACCTACAGCATTTCACAGCTATTAAGCAGCTCAGTGCTTTTCCCCCTAGGGATGTGCTGAGGAGGCACTGGTGCGGGGAGCCAAGGTACCGAGGTTAAACGACCTGCCCAAGACCACGCGGGAATCAGCGACAGTCATGAAACCAAGGCCTGACATCCCAGGTGCCAGGCACATAACCACAATCCCGAGCTGGGATTTATTTTACTTTTTTTGGTCTTTTGATGATTAAGATGAAGAGGCTAAGCTGGCACAAAGAGCTACCAATCCAACCAATGTTACTAACACCAAAAAGAATGAAATGAACTCCCTGAAACACAATCAATCAAAATCCCTCAATGTATTTTCCTCCCCCCAAAAAAATTGTTTTAACTTATTTTATATATATAAATAAAAAATTAAATTCTTACAATCATCAGAACAGAAAAATTAATTGTTCTTCTTTTTTCAATACTATTTTGCTTTTTGGGGGGTTTTTTTTGGTTGGTTTTTTTTTTAATTTAGAAGGAGCACAACGTAAC